GTGTGTGTGTGTGTCAGTGGCGGTGCATCACGTGGCGGTGATGGTGAATGTGTATCACTCGGTTCTTCACTGTATGGAGGCCTGGGGAACTGAGCCCCACCTTCACTTGGCTGTATGAGAAAGTGGTCGTAACGGACCTCGGGGGTCGGGTTTCGGCACCTTCTGCGGACACTTCACCTGTGTGGTGAGCAACAAACTGGGACACAGTTCAGCCACATACACCGCAGGTACAGCTCTTATGCCATCAGTGCGTCATGAAGGACAGGAACGTTACTTTTCATGAGGCTTAGAGCATGAATGACCTGAGAGGTTCAGTGACAGCACGTGTGTGTGTGTGTGTGTTTCAGAGGCGTGTGAAAGCACTAACAGGAGCATGACTGCTGTCGTTGTGTTTCTGCTGCTGATACTGACGCTTGCAGCCGCATCTCTGGCCTTTATACTGTGGAGGTGCGTTTAAACACAAGTCATGATTTTGAATTATTTTTATATTTTATTATTTTTTGTATTTTTTGGGGGGAGGGCATTTTTATTATTTCTTTTCTCTCTTTTTTTTTTAAATGTCTATATAGTTTATTACTTTTTCTTTCAGTTTTAGCTATTTTAGTATATCAAGTTAAGATTTTTATATTTTATTTCAGTTTATTTTATTTCAAGTAATGAATGTTTTTAGTTTTTGTTAACTATAATAACCCTGATATTTGCCTTTTTTTTTATTAGTTTTTCTTTTCTTTTCTGAATATGTCCATATAGTGTCTATTCATTTTTATTTCAGTTTAAGTTATTTTAATAGGCTACATCAAGTTAAACTTCATGAAAATGAGAAATGCTGCCTTGTCAAATAGGTTTAACTTTTTAAATATCTTATTTCAGTTCATTTCATTTCAAGTAATGAATCTTTTTTTATGGTTTTAGTTTTAGTTAACTAATAACCCTGATTAAACTTCATGGTTACACAGTAACACACAAACACTTAACATCCGTGAGGCTTAAAAGCAGAAATATGAAGCTTAAGTTTATGTTTTAGCATTTATGTCAGTATTCAGTACAAATCTGGATCAAAAAACTTCTGATCAAGGAGTCTACACAAACTTCCAATAACTTATTAAATCATTTATTCATTTTCTGCCCCCAATTTTGTCCCACATTTCAGATTAATCTGCCCCTAAATGACACTGTATAACAGTCACAGACTGTCTAATCCTACTCAAGTTTTCAGTTTTGACCACAATAATAAAATTAATTTTATTCAAAATTAATTAAAGCTCAAAAAAAAAACTGAAAACATCAAAATAAAAGCGAATTCAAAATAATAATAAAATCCACCCTTAAACAGGAAGAAATCGTCTAATTGACAGTGACCTGTTATACATGCTA